TCCGCAATATCAGCTCCACTGTCTGCGTGCCTGAAAAATCAGTTGAAAGGAATCTGGATGCTATCGTGATTTTGAAGTCCTCTGGTTACAATTTTGCAGATCAGGATCGCATAAGCAGGGTTTTTGCTAAGAAAAACCAGGTTACCTCGGAGCAGCGAAAGTAGGCTCATCCAACTTGACGGCTTTAACATCTCACTATTAGACGGGGAAGGTGTAGCCATTAATGTGATGCAAAGTAAGAGATCGTGAATTCTGAGAAATCTGACAGATGAAGCTCGAGCCAAAGATGATCTTGTACTGCATGACTCTGAGGACACCAACTATAATCTCAGCCTCAAATTATCCCACACATTCCAGTAAGCCTCTCTTTTCTGTTGTCAACAATGCTCTTGCCAAAATCCACCTTCTGCTTTCATGCACTTTGATGATGATTATGCTTTTAATGCGAGCCGTATGAAGGTCGAAATTGGAGCCCTCGTAAACGCGCATATACGACGAGTGACTCGGGGCTTCCCACGCAATCTTTCAAGAATGGTTCCTCCTTTAGATTCAATGGTTTTAAAAAAGTGGTCCGTCTCCAATCGTGAGATGCACTGGTCTTACTTCCCTTTTCATGTTACCGGCTGCTTATGCGTAATCGACTGTGATGTTCTCCAGGAAACTACATTAGCCATGTACTTCAAACTACAGATTCCTGTTGACGAGGACTGATTAGGTTTCATCGTGATTAAGTTGGATCACTGTATTGAATCTCCTCCTCATATGTGCTCCAAAAGTGCCGAAGGGTGTAAGACAGGCGTTTGTTCTGTTTGCACCTGAATTCACGCCCGATTTTCCACTTGGATATTCCCTCAGCCACACGGCTTGACCCTGCTTCTGGATTGGAAACTCGTTCCAAGTGCGATATGTGATTTGGATGATCAGGAAGTGGATTGCCAGAAGAGAAAAAAGCAAAGCAAGTGACTGATTCACCCCTATTTTTATACTAACAATCAACCAACCACACCTGAATATAGCCTTGACTATAAGGATTTAATGTCAATGGTCACTAGCAGGGCCATGAAATCGGCGTCTATAAATATGCCAGACTTATGTGATACAGGATTCATAAGTGACTCATGTACCGCATGACAAATTCCTCAGTTTGCAGTTATTGTGTGAGGATGGTGGCGTAGGATGTGTACGTCGGGTTCGTAGAGTACATAGTACAGTCACCAGGGGTTTGGAGCGACGTGTGATAACCATATGGGGTCGGCTTTGTCCAAGGAAGATAGGACGCCTGTGTCAAAGTCTTCTGATAACACAGCACTGCGTTCGCTAGCCTCACAGCCACTGCCTCGGATGTAGCCTGCAACCGTTTGCGAGGGCCGCTGACGAAGCTTGCTGGTGTCCGTTAGACAACTTTAAGCACTTCCTTGGCATAGACCTGGTTATTCGTATCGACAAGATGCATAAGAACCGAACTCAAACTAGATCTGTTCTCATCTCTGGCTGGCGCAGTCGATATAGATTCACATACTCTCTTTTGCGGGCGTCTCCTTTTGTGGCCAATGTGTCCCCTTCCATAGGGGCAAGTGAATGTGCAAATACATATAGGCGTGGCATTCAACGGTAATCGATTCTTTTAACTAAATCACAGAAGGAGAGAGCTTGTTATGCCTGCATGTTATAACGCCACTGGGATTTCAACCGCCGTCCTAACCACTTGGCGACAGTAATGCGCAGTCCACGCACCGACTTAGAATCATCACTCACATAATATCACCCTCTCATACCTATATACCATTTCACGCTAAACACGTCGCGACGGTGGCGTGGGAGCTATGAGTGTTAATAACTTTTAGGTCACTTATAAACCTTGCACAATTCTTTTATTTTTATTATCGAAGTAACTGCGTTGGCCTGATAATGAGTTAACAAATACACCTGTTTGTCAAATTGACACTTCTATCATTTTTCAATTTTGTTGTTTAAAACAACAACTTAAAACATGAAACGCCTTCAGTTTTACTGTCCATTACATTGTATGTACTTATCCCAACTGGTGTTCGCCTGTTCAGATCACTGTTTTATGTTTGGAAATAATGCTGTTAAGGAAGTGCAGTAAATTTTAATGAGTTTTGAGAACATATTTTGTTTATTATTTGTTGCTCCTTGGTAATAAGAAGAAATCACAAGAGTCTAGATCGGTTGAATAAGGGAGTGGAATATATTTTGTATGCGTTATTTTTCCTAAACCCGATTGAGTTTAAAGCTGTGTTGGCACGCTTGTTGTTATAAAATAACAGGTCGCTTGTTCGTCATCTTACCCAATCGCTTCAACAAAAGTTATGGAAAATCGACCGACGTCGTTTTGAGAGGTTTAAATCAAATTTTCAATTGAGTTACCTAGCCACCTTGGCACTTTATTTGACTCAGAATTTCAGCCTTTTTTCCAGTCCGACACTGCTATCGAAAGACGGCTTGGTCATTTTCTCAATGAGATTGAAGGTACATTTTACGACCTCACTCCGGGGATCTACTGAATTAATTCGTGAGGCTTATTACTTGATACGAATAATACCTAGCTCTTTAACTTAGATGGAACCAACGTCCCTCAAGGAGTTTTCTGGGTCTTCTGCGGCACCCAGGGCAGTTTTTAGCTGTCGACCATATCGTTGGAAGTTGGGTGGTAAGCTATCGTCCGAATGCGTGTGCAGCTAAGGAAATTGAGTAGTTTTTGGAAGAGTGCCGACTTAAACAGGGTACCACGATTAGCCGTAATCGTGAATGGGACACCGACCATGGCGACCCAACGACTAACGAAGGCCTTCACGATGGTACCAACCTGCGTATTCGACCAAGAAATAGCTTCAGTCCAGCGGATATATCGATCGACACAGGTAAGGCTGTGGGTGAAACAATTGGATGGAGGCAATGGGCCTACGACGTCCATGTGCACATTACTGAACCGTGCGTCGGGACTGGAAAAAGAGGCTGGTGGGGACTTGTTGCAACGCTGCACTTTGTTGCGCTGTCAAATGAGATGGGACCTAGCCCCAGCATTGACGTCCTTATTCATGCCAGGCCAGACAAACCTTTCCGCGAGCAGCTTTTGAGAGGCTCGGATTCCAGGGTGGGATAGTCCACGCAAGGTTTGACATGCAGCTCAACGCATCGAGGTGGGCATGAAAGGGCGATGAAAGCGAGTTGAGACGTCAACAAGTATGTTACCAGAGCCGGTGGTCAGTGGAACGTCTTTGAGTTAGAGACCACTAACAGACTCGTCATCAGGACAACCGACCCGCTGTTGCTCATTCGCCATGGCGCCAATCTCCATCCCGTGTAAGAGTTGGAGGGAAGACAGTGAGGGTCTGGACAGCATATCAGCCACCTTATTCTTTGGCCAAGAATATGGCGGAGTTCGGTGCTGAATGGGGAAGTGTTTTCCAGGTGGACGATTTCTCTCAAATTGTACTTGTCGGATTGGGAACGAAGTGCGACAGTCAACGGTTTGTGGTCAGTGAAAACAGCGAAGTCCCGACTTTAAAGAAAATGCCGTAAATGCTTCACAGCCAGATAAATTGCAAGTAGTTCACGGTCAAAGGCCCTGTGGCGTGTCTCGGCTGGTAGGAGTTTTTTGGAGAATAAGGCAACTGGTCGAGAAGGACCAGCAAGGTGTGATTGAAGGACTGCTCCTACAGCTACGGTCGAGACATCTACCATCGGAGACAACTGAGCTTCGTGAGCGGTATGCGTGAGTAAGGTGGCATCGGCAAAGGAATTTTTGATTCTCTCAAAGGCAGTCAGGGCTTCAACTGTCAGCTCGAGGGGACCTTTGGAACCAGAAATAATGTTGGTGAGCGGCAACATGAGGTCAGCACAGTTCGGTAGGAACCGGTGGTAAAATTGACCATGTCAAGGAATCGCTGTAATTGACACTTGGAAGTTGGAGGAGGAAAATTTCGAACTGCTGCAACCTTGGAGGGGAAAGGGCGCAAACATTCAGAGTCGACCTGATGGCCGAGGAACTCGAGTGAAAGCACACCCTACACGTACTTGGAGGAGTTGATGACAACGCCGAACTTATCAAGACGGTCAAACACCAGAACAAGATGCTCTTTGTGTTCTTCTTCATCCCGGCTCGCCACCAAAAGGTCATCAATGTAGGCAAACACAAATGGTTGGCCACGTATGACATGGTCGTGGAACCTCTGGAACGTTTGGACGACATTACGTAGACCGATCGGCATGCGGACGAACTCAAAGAGACCGAAAGGTGTGGTGACGGCTGTTTTAGGGATGTCCCTAGGGCCGATTGGAATCTGATGAAAAGCACGCAACAGATCAATCTTTAAGAAAACCGCTTTGTCAAAAAGGGCCCCAGCAAAGTCCTGAAAATGAGGCACGGGGTACCGGTCAGGAATGGTAGCGCTGTTGACAGCTCAATAGTCGGCACAGGGTCGCCAGTCGCCTGATGTTGCCTTGGGCACCATGTGCAGTGGGGACGCCCAATTGCTCTCGGACGGTCGAATTATTCCCAGTTGCAGTATGTGTTCAAACTCCGCTTTCGCGGCCTGAAAACGCTCCGCTGTTAGTCGTCTCGGTCGAGCAAACACCGGAGGACCTAAGGTGCGCATATGGTGGACAACATTATTTTGGACCTCACCACTGCGGAACTGGGGTTTAATAAGGTTGGAGTGACTAAGAAGCAATTTCCGAAAAGGAATAGCAATATCCGTATCAAAGACAGATAAGTTGATGGGAGCAGTAAAGGGAGTTAGTCCACGAACAAACAGACCGGTTGTCCGGTCGAGGAGACGGGCACGTCGGCAGTCAATAGGGAGATCGAACTCGGCAAGAAAGTCCGAACCGAGGATTGCATGACAGACATCAGCAATGACAAAGATCCAAGTGAATGACCGGCGAAGGCCAATGTTCAAGTTAAGGGACCGAGTACCAACAGTAGGAAAGGGGGAACAGCTGACTGCTTTGAAGTGACGACCAGGGCTAGGTATACGATGATCATCTGCGGTTGTGGGAATAGCGCTGATTTGGGCTCCAGTGTCAATCCGGAAACGTCTGTGAGTCGCAGTGTCACAAACATAGAAGGTGCGACCAGAGCCGGAAGAGCGAGAGAAAACGGTCGCATCTATTCTCTGACTAACGGGTTTCCCTGTTAAGGCTTAAAAGAGCAAAGTGAGGAACAGCGAAGTGCCTTTACTCCGAAAGTAATGTGATATCAACAAGTATCAGCAGTAGTTGTTAGTAACCTTACTCCGGACAAATAATTTATCCTTACCGTTCCTTTGATTTGCTCGCATATTCTACCGTTGAAGATGGAACAGGTTCGCCGGCGGATTGCGAAGAATGACATTAGTTGCTTGGATTTTTATGGGCCTCGACGTCTCGGCGTATTTCTCTTCGGGCCGTTTCTGTAACACGTCGCGCGCCAAGCCTGGCGGGGTGGACATGCGTAGTGATAAAATATCGAAGGATGCCATGTATGTCAGAACCAGCAAGATGAAGGAATGGCTGTACACAGGTGAACAATCGAGTGTAGTTTATCACATTCTATACCACAACATTGTAAAGGCCAGATAGGACGGCGCCCCACCTCACAAATGCTTTAACACAAACGGGTCGTTTGGAGGGGCGATCCACTGTCTCAAGTCGCAGCTCACACGCTGGAGGAAGTCCACGAGTTCGACTTCGGCAGCACGCGAGCCGGCGAACAAGACGAGGTGGAAACTGTCGGAGGCGTTGCTGTCAGAAACCAACTCCTCTGTTAGACATATTGGCCTACCATCGTGTTATCACACGTTACGCGCACGCAGCCAGGAAGCACTGATCACAGAGCAGAGAGAGGCAAACGCCGTCATCACCCCGTGAAACCACTATGGGCCAGGCCGCCTGTACCAGACCTGGACACGGACGTAACCCTTCCTGCCCCACCCTCACGGCACGACGTTCTTGCACTCCAGCGGTGTTTTATGATGAACTCCTGTTCGAATTCGAAAGCTTACGTTAATAAAGCAGCCGTCGCATTGAACACATCGTTGTCTTCTCTTCAAAAGTCTTCTGGGCTGCATATACTCTCTTCCATCTATGGCGCGAGTGTTGTGAAGCTCCACTTCGGGGCCGAGATGTGGATATGGCCATTTGACCGTCACTTACGACGAGGTCCGCCATTGCCACACTTCACTACGAGACAGAGTTGTGCCCCAGTTACTTCCCGATCACCTCCTACTCTCACAGGTTTGGAGTCACAAAACAAAGTCAAGACGATCGGAGATAGGTGTTGACACAGTGTCCGGACAAAACTAACGTCACATCTATGCATGCCAAACTCAGAACTGTCGCTAATAGTCAGCATCGTTGATGACACCCCATCCTTTGTTAAAAAAGGCAACATGCATAAGATTTGGGACAACATTAGATGACTAATATGGTTTATTTGGAAGATGAAGGAATGACTGGACACAGGTGAACACTCGGATGTCGTTTATCAAATCCTGCACCATAACTGTCCTTGACATTGTAAAGGCCAAGCAGGTTGACGTCTGAAGTCACAAATACTTGAACGCAAATGGGTCGTTCGGAGAGGCAACCCACTGTCTCAAGTCGCCGCTCACATGCTGGAGGACGGCTGCTTTTTGTCAGCAGCTTTTTACCAGGGCGGAACAAACGTAGTTTTTTTTCCATATCGACATTTAGATTGCCTTTCCATCGATGTCCGACGGAATGTTTTGCGATCAGCCTTCCATTGTCCTCACAGAGATGGCGTCTGGCAAACTACATCAAATGGTGGACGTGGGTTGCTCCGAATTCGAGCCACTGCAGGAGAGATGCCGAATCATATTACGGAAGTAACTTACCAACATGGGGATAGCTGGTATGCCGGCTAGGCTTCTGATTCACCCAAGTGGCTGGACAAGCCTTCAATCATTCTAGAAGTCTGGCGTCACACAGCACGTGAGCGGCGTCGTAACAGCCGGAGATCTGACCAGATGCCCGATCTTGGTTGTTTTAATCGATAATCACTTTCGTTTATTCCCTTCAGCGACATTACCTCCAAGGTCACGTATGGACGAGTAACCCTCAACCTGTTTCCAACAAGTCGTTTTGTCGTTCTTTTCGTTTCACCACGACTCCCTTGCAGTAGTTTTCCACTTTTTATGGTCGATAATAAATTTACATCTTTCGATTATCTGCCCCGTCATGTATGATGCCCTGCCTGCCTGTATCATTCGATGCCGCCCGTTGTGAGACATAATGACTTCTAGACAGGACTTCTTCCAAACAGCTGGTCCGTCTGAATTCAAGCTGCCGTCAACCCCTTCCAATTGCATCTGTCATCCGACGACGCTATCTCGCTCAGCCGCTGTAGCGTGTGAGCGTATCATTCGGTAGGCATCCGAAAAGAGTTGCCTCTTGTCCGTCCAGTCTCTCGAGACAAGCGCTATTGACAAGAATTCAGGACGCATCAAGAGCGTAGCTGCAATAAGCGCGTGCGCTTTCAACTATCTATTCATTGTCGGACCTGTATAGTAACGTAAGAGGGGGTGAAATACAGGCTGAAGATGCACAGATCTGGTGTTTAGTAATCGAAAGCATATGTTTCCCGAGATTGACTTTCTAAATGTCAACATGGGTATCATCACCAACTTAACGAATACTTGATGAGCTGCTTTGGTATTTTCTTCAAATAAACCTTGACTCATTTGTTCACCTCTGCGTTCGCACATTGCCCACCGAACTGGTAATAAGCTTGCGTGGATGTTTGCAGGAAACCCATGTAAATATCCATTTTTGTTCAAATAAACAAACATTGACACAATAAACCTTTGAATGTGAGCGTGATACCAACAATGCCTATCTTAATTTATCATGTCCCCAGGTCATCTTCATTGAAATTAGGCCAACATTTTCTGTCACCAACGTTTAAACTGCCACACCAAGTCCGACGTTTTCAGTAAAAGCCGTGACGCGATTGAATTATGCGTATTTTCTAAATTTACGGCCTCCAATAGCGAAGCGAATGACTGTATTCGACTTGGCGAATGACGCACACGGATAGTTTGCGATAAAAAGCACAGATAATTCTATGAAAGATCATGAGTACCTCGAACCTCAACTACGATGCTCCAATACGTTCCGTGCCCGAACAGACTTTTGGTTTATTTCCTTTTGACATTGGGCCTCCTCAATTTTCTATATACAGCAGGATGGTGGATCTCTATTCATCGGGAGATCCCTTCAGGCAGAAATGCAGGCGACTGCAAGTCCGACTGGCAACACCTCGTTTACTCGCCTAAGACAAACAGTTTTGAGTTGTCACTCGTGGTGCATGTCGCGAACGGTGGTCACGGCATGAACAGAAGTGCCGACCGGCGCATCCCTAGTCGACAAGTCCTTCTGCATCCTTCACGTCAACAGACCTATACGTTTGCGGAGATGGCCGAGATCGAGGATAATAACTGGAGACTCCCAATTCCTAAATCCGTTTTCATGCTCTACCCACAGGCGTTGGATATGAAACAGGTGGTGGCAAATATAACGAGCTGCCGTTCCATATCAGAGGTAGGCGTGGAAAATGAAGAAATGCGAATCATCTGCTTCTGCGGTATCTATCGAATGAGGCATTTAAACTGCACTTATTTGACTGCAGTACATTGTCCTAGTTGAATCTGACTACTCGTGCTCATTAATTATTTTCAGGCTGGCTTATGCTTGGATGTTGTTTCAGCAACCGATGTATATTTCACCGGTCACAGGCCCGAAGTAAGTAATAGTTGCAGTGGTGATCGTGCAAAAGTTCTTCTCAGGCCGAATATCTTCCACATAACTTTCTAGCTGCGATCGGGGCTATAAGCCAGTGCGTGTCTGCAAAGTTATTCGGTAATGTCGTTGGATCCTTGAGAGCCAAACGGGCTTTATATGGGCAGTGTTTGATTGAGCAGGCTGGATTATGATGCAACCTGTGGTAAGACTTCTAATGAGAAAAGTTTTCTTACGGTACACATCTAATGTTGTCAGTTACGAATTTCTTACACGACTGTTCATTTTAACTAATTTTACACAATGCATTGCCTCTCATTTGCCTGAGTCGCCTCTTCTCCCTTTTATAGGCTCCTATATTTGATCAGACGATCAGATTCTTCAACATCAGCTCGACTGTCTGCGTGCCAGGAAAAGCAGTCAAAGAAGTTCTGGATGCTATTGTAGTGGTTAAGTCAGCCGTCTACAACTTTGCAGTTCGTGATCGCATTCGGAGAACCTATGCCAAAGAAGGCAAGCGTGAACATGCTTTCCGCATCGCCATGGTCTTCTCCGTAGGACTACCCCGAAGCAGCGGGGGTCGGTACTTTCAGCGTGACGGTTTGAACATCTCACTGCCGGGCCGGGCGGGCGAGTCGCTGGAGAAGATGCGGAATGAAGGGCCGGCAGTTCTCAGAAAACTGGCAGAAGAAGCTCAAGTCAACGGTGACCTCCTACTGGGTGACTACGAGGACACCTACTATAACCTTAGTCTCAAATTATTCCATACCTTCCAATGGGCCTCTTATTTTTGTCGTCCACATTTCACCTCCCAACAACGACCTCCTGTCTTCATTCTCCTGGACGATGACTATGCTTTCAATGCAACCAACTTAAAGACTGAACTGAAGGCACTCTCGGACACGCAAATTCGACGAGTGACCTGGGGTGTGCGGCAGGCGAGTAGTCCAGTATATCGTCCTCTCGTCTCGCCAGGTTTTGAAAAATGGATCCTCTCAAAACGTCAAATGCCCTGGCCCTACTTCGCGCCTTATGCCTCCGGCGCCTTCCTTGTCATCGGCGTCGATACTCTTCAGGAAATCGCCCTGGCCATGTACTTCACGCTACAATTTCCAGTTGATGATGCCTGGTTAGGCATGGTTATGACAAAGTTGGATGTCAACGTTGAGCCGCGTCCATCCATGCATATCTCTAGGCCGAAGAAGCTTAGGAAAGAACTGGTTTCCTTTGCACCCCTCGACTACCTCTTCGACAAACAATAGCTATAAAGTACACCCACCATAGAAGCATTTACTTGAATTTGCTAGTGCTTTGCGTCTGCACTAAAAGCTTTTCTTAATGGACGAAATTTAATTTTGGCGCACAAATGGAGTGTGAATTTCATGACCTCGGAAATTTGCGAGCAATTTGCGGTTTCCGGTTTTGCTAGTTGTAATCCATGTATTTTGGGATGTTGATCACGGATTCGGCAAGAAAGTGGGCGCGTTTTGACCAGGACCGTACTTGGAATTTCCCCGTATAATCCACAACGATACCAATACTTTCCCAACACGTTAAGTGCGCTATTTCCAGAAACATTCAGCAGATGGTTGTGCAGTAGTTGGAATGGGTAATGGCATGACCAACAGACGACTACTAAATATCCATCATCAACTTATTGGAGCAGACGTTCGACGAATGTGAAAAGAACCATGAGACGGTCGCTGATCCCAGTACGAAGATACGCATCTAGCGGCTTCCAGTCCTACGTCGCATTAGGGCCATTCGTAACTCACATGTGAGTCTTTCATTCAGTCGTTAGGGTCATTACACACGACAGAGGACGGATTTGGTGGCAGACGCACTGCCAGTACATAAAACAAATATGAGACAAGAAGCTATTATGAACATTAACTAGTTTTCCGTGGAAATCGTGCACGCTGCATTCTATACTGACTTAAGAGAATGTTGGCTGTGGGCCACACTGCGCTGTTTGGTTCAGTAGAAGTGGTTGCTGTTGTGTCTGCCCCGACGACCATCTAAAATTAGAAATGTCATAGCATTGTCGTTGTCTTAAATCTGAACGGAAGGTATATTTTTGAGTAGAATACTACTTTTGTCAGGCTAACTTTAGGTAAGTCGGATATTGCAAACCCTCCGTATGCCTTTGTTAAGCACTCGATTCGAAAATCTCGGGCAAACGGGTAGGTCTTTCTTAACAGGAACGTAACCGTGTCCTGGACATCTAATTGGTGATGTCAGAAGTGTCGAAAGTTGTTGTGTAGTCGACACGATACAGATTGCCAATCAAAAGTCAGGGAAGACGGTTTGAGTTGGACAACCTTTACTGCCTGAGAAAGTGCCTACACAAGGGCTCTGTAGGCAGTCGCCGCGAGCGCGCTCCAAGCAAGCTGCTGTCTGTGTCCGCCTTCGAGTTGTTGTGTCTGCGCGTGTGTGCGCCCTTTGTTGTCTCCACGTCCGCCAGCCAATCAGAGTGGGAACAGCGTTGATTGGCTTCGAGCACTCGCGCGTCCCAGGAGGGCTAAGACGGATACTCCGTCGGCAGTTATCAAGTCGGAAGGTGTAACAAGGTCAAAATTGCCTGGACCTATTAGCGTTGACATTGCCACGGTAGTGGCAAGTGGTAATACGAAATGCATTGACAGTGGCCCCCGAAATACTCAGGGAACATGGCATACACATCTACCAGGTCTGGTCCGGAAACTCAGTCCTTATCGGGGACCTTATGAGGTCGTACCGAGCACGATAATCATGTCATTACAGTCAGGCTTTTGGCGTCTTTGCTTGACACCTAATGTCTCCGGTCTGGAGGGTAATTTGCTACCGCACCCATCTATCGGCATTGGCATACCAGATGATGAGAAGCCAAACTGCATCGGCTCCACATATAGAAGAAGGCTGCTGTAGGTCAAGAAACCCATGGAACATATCAATCGCATTCTCATGTCATCTAAGTCCGGGATTTTAACCAAACCAGACGATGCCAGCAGGCATTCAAGTATTTATTGTCATTGCATGGATAGTCCGTAGAAGTTTGAAGTGTCGGAGCAAACCGAAAGACTGTGTAAGACAGAGACGGTTGTGCAGGCAATATCGGAGAGATAGATAAAGCCAGATTTCTAAGTCGTGGCTCCTTCCAAATGATCCAACCATCCTAATATGAAAGATACCGTTCCGATTGAGCGCTGAACGCTTATTTTGTTAGAATGGCTGTCTGGCCCGCCTGCTTTCAGCGGAGTCCGCAGTCAGAAAAGTAGGGCTTCACAACTCTTACCTGAAACTCTTAGGTTTGGCATTACCTATTCGTATTTCGACGTTCGCACAATAGTTCCTGCGTAGAATACGCTCTCAACATGTTTCTTCGGAATTGTCCGACGCTCAAAGTCTTGTCACGTAGTAATGATAATGCTTCCAGCCTTACGTTAACAGATCAGAAAAAAAGTTTATTTTGAAAATCAGCAGCATACTTTAGGAATAATTTTAGGGCCAATTCGACAATTTACGCAGAACGGGTTGCTGTACTGTGACGTAGATTGAACCCGATGCGGCATTTGTATATGGCGTGGGTAGATTTGGTTGCGTGCTCTGTTGCCAATTGCACTTCGTACGCGCTTGTTGGCAACGGTTTGCGTAAGCGGTGACACACTCTGCATTTGTAAGGCTACTCCATGGGCGTGGATGCGGCTAGGTGGACTTTGAACAATTTTAGCCTGAGGCGGATACCCCGTCAGCAGTTATCAAGTGGAAAGGTGTAATAAGGTCAACATTGCCTGGACCTATTAGCGTTGACATGACCACGGTGGTGGCAAGAGATTATAAGAAATGCATTGACAGTGTCCCGCAAAATACTCGAGAGGGTAATTTGCTACCGCACCCATCTATCGGCATTGGCATACCAGATGATGGGAAGCCAAACTGCATCGGCTCCACATATAGAAGAAGGCTACTGTAGGTCAAGAAACTCGTGGGACGTATCAATCGCAGTCTCATGTCACATGAGGCCGGGATTGTACCCAAGCCAGAGGTAGCCATCAGGCGATTATAATTAATTATCATTGTATGGATTGTCCGTAGCAGTTTGACCGAAAAACTACTTTAGACACAGACGGCGAAATGATTGAAGACAGATTTCTAATTCGAGGCTCTTTCCGAGGAATCCGACCACACATTCCAATCTGGTGGGGAGGAAATTTCCATGAGAATCGACAACTACGTGAGACACGGACTGCGTAAGCGGCGGGTCTCTGCTCGACAGTTCATTAACAAGCGTATGGGCATCTCATCTCGGTTGTCTGCACTGATTCTTCGCCTAGGCAGAGTAGTTAGCAACGCTGGCAGCGCGTGTGTGAGCAGTGTTTCCAGTGCCAGTGTCGATCAGCCAAGTTGCCCGAAACGTGTTGGGCACTTCCAAGTCCAGGGATCTAATTCATTCGAACATGGGGGACGATGAGGAAGTACCGGATCTAGCACTACAGGCGAAGGTGAGAATACAAGACTTCACCAACACGTGGATATTGACGCGAGCCGGCAACAAGACGGGGCGACAACTGTTGGAGGCATGGGTGTCGGACACCAACTCTATCAATAGACACATCGATTTGCCTGCGTGTTATCATGCGCTTCACCTACGCAGCCAGGTGGCACAGCCCACATCGTCGCGAAGTACAAACGGCGTCACCACGCCGGGGGACCATCGTGGACCAGGCGGCAAAAACCTTACCTAACCACGGACGTATTCCCCCTCCCCCCCGCACGGAACAACGATATACATGTTCAAACTTTGCTGCACTCAAGCAAACTCGAACTGCAGTTCGCGTTCGAAAGCTCAGACGAATAAATCTACTGTCCCAGTGATCGTGCCTTCGTCTTCTTCTAAAGTATACATTAAACCTAGTTGATCACATTTGACACTTGTGCGCGACCCCACCACACACTGACGACCACTAATCGGCGTGGTATGAGTCAGCAGCTTAAAAAATATAACGAACGGCGGTGCGATCATACAAGAAAATAAATTTACTTTAAATAAATGTACAATGCATTTCCCCTAAACGCTTACAATCAGGCGCCGACGTATTGCATTTTGATTACGGACAAATGAAATATATACGTATTAATTCTATCACCATTTGTTCTGATGCAGTACATCGTATTTGGATAATTCGCCTCCTCTACCGCTCGTAGGGTTTATCTAATTACTCGAACAAACAGCCTTAACGTAAGCTGGCTTGTCCGCGTTCCACGAAAGCAAACCAAAAGGCTTCTTAATGCTATTGCTATGGCTAAATCCACTGTCTACAACATTTCAGGCCTTGATTGCGATCGATAGGTTTGTGCCTAAGAGGTTGAGTGCGAACCTGCCTTGCACATGTTCATGGTCTTTTCTGTAGGACTGCCTATCGGCAACGCTGGTCGGCTCATTCCTCGCGACGCTTACCAAGGCAATGCAGTACGATATGCTTGACGACGCCCGACACAAGGGTGAACTCGCAGAAAGCTACATTGAGAACGCCTATTGTGACACAAAAATGAGATTATTTCACAAATTTCAACAGGCGCGTCAATCTGTCGCCGTGTTTTAAGCTACCGTCGACGAACTCGCGTCTTCCTTATTCTGCGCGATGGCTATTTGTTGGTCGAAGAGTGGCCTAAAGAAATTGGTTCTGTTTAGACCACTGCAATACCCCTTCGACTAATACAGCCACTGAAGGAGTTTCACGAGATAAAGCCATGCTTGAGCAGTCTCCCCGTTTGTATGAAGACCTATTTTGATATGTGAAGACTAATATGGTCAGGTATAATGCGTGCAGACTGATTCAACAACCGTCCGATGAAAACATTTCTTGCGAAATTGCATATTGTTGGAAAGCAGCCCTATAGGCCATGATGTGCAATCATTCAAAGACATAACCATACATTTCCGCTCCCTTCATAATTGTTGGAAATGTTTCTGTATAAAATACTGTACATTGTTATGTGCCTACTCCCCTCAATTTGGGGACTTTTTCTTATTTAGGCAACAGCGTATATAATACTTTGAGGGCTTTAGAAACGCTCACAGTACACGAAAATATAGAAAAAATGCGCAACCTGCAGAGATTTTAATTGTTGCAAGAGGGAAATGCCGAGTTGATTTCTGCCTCCTGAGCAGAAAACGTAAAAAAAGTGATTAATCGCGACTTTATTAACACGCCTTGGCAAAAGAAAAAAGAGTCCTTTATGAAGCTCTTACATCTGCACGTATTTAAAGCCAAAGATAGAT